AGAAGTTAAAAATAATATAGAATGAAAAGAAAATGGAATTTCAGTGTTTATTAGTTTATTGTGATTATCATCATCATCAGCCGATAAAGATCTGGCGCTCTCGCGAGTATGCTGCGAGTAAGCGTGGGTGAAGCAATACATCCGCCCCCTCAGTTTTCTTTAAGTCCTGAGGCTTGGGTTCTTACTCCGTACACCAGGATAGCAGCGTTCCGTTGGTAAACAATTGTGCTCTCGCTGAACTACATTGGTACTTAATTAACTTCATGAAGCTGAGCCCTTCTTGAGAAGGCGCCAATTGTGCAGCTACTCAAAAAATTTCCAGCATTTTCTGGAGTCCTATGGCTCATTATCGTGTGCACATGAGCCCTCCACTGGTCCCTATCCTGAACCAGATATATCCAGTCCATACCCTTGCGTCCTATCTAGGATCCATTTTAATATTATCCACAAACCTACGTCTTGATCTTCCCAGTGGTCTCATTCCTTCTGGCTTTCGTACCAATATCCTATATGCTTTCCTCTTTCCTCCCGTTCGTGCTACATTCCTTGTCCATTCCAGGCTCCTTAACTTGATCATTCTAATTATGCTTGACGAAGAGTAAAAGTTATTAAGCTTCCTCTGCATGCAGTTTTCTCCCACCTCCCGTCACTTGACCTCTCTTCGGTCCAGATATTCTCCTCAACGCCCTGTTCTCAAACGACCTCAGTATATGCTCCTCCATTAATATCAGAGACCAAGTTTCACACCCACACAGAAGCAAAAAAAAAAAAATATTTTTATATATTCTAAATTATAAGTTTTTAGATAGCGAAAGAGTAAACAAACGATTCTGGACTGAATGGTAGCAAGCGTTACCCAAACATGGATACCAGGATCAAACATATTATTATTTACGCACTTCTTCATTCATTCATCAGTAATCTGTCAGACGACAGGTCCACAGTCTCTTCCAAAACAGTTCCTCCACTTAATGCGATATTCTGTTTTTGGAAAGAGACTAGCCAGGAAAAGTGATAATGTGGTAGTTTTTCCATTTGCTTTCCACATCGCAGTACAACAGCCGTTCAAACCACTCTGGTCACGCCTGTTGCTATACAAACTTGAACCATCTCGAGCATCATTTGCTCTGTGCTTCAAGTCGCTGCTGATGACGCTGCTTCCGGCATCAGTTTTTGGTGTCTCTCTTCGTCTGATGCCTACCCTTTGACCTGTCCAGCAAGGGAGGCCCTGCCAGTAGCTACGATACCGCTGGTATAGCTCTCAGGGTCCTTGGCATACTCAAACCCCCTCACCACGATAAGGTGGAGGTCACCAACGAGGTGACGCACTTCTATGCTGCTTGTTTTTATGTGAAAATGCATTTTCCGACTGTTAAGTACCTTACAAAGCATGCAGTCTTAACGCTGGTAAATTATGATTTTGTGCTTCAATTCAACGTTTCATAGCTGAGTAATAGCGTAAATTTCTGCAGGAGAATAACGAGTGAAATTTTAAGTATTCTCTCAAATATCATTAAAGCACGGGCAGCTAATGCTTTCTGTGAGGTCATATAAGGCTGAAACAAACCAGATATTCCAGAACTATTTCACAAACTGACATTTTTATGGTAGTTTAAAGGTAAGACATGTGGTTAGCAAAGTCGTAAGCTCTTAAATGGCCTTGTAAATTCTTTCCTGTTTTTTCTTAATACTACTCTGTTAAAAAGAACCGCATATCAGCCACTACAATCTTGTAGTTCTCACGGGGACCACCAGAGAAGTTCCAGTGCACAGTCTGAATGCTCAGAATGTGGAATACAGAACAAAGCCCTTATCAGCTACATATATGTGTAGTATTAGCGTATATGTACCAACAGTTATGTTATTTCAGAGATTCTCTTCTCCACAGCCTCCAGACAAGATCTGAGGCCTACCCAGTCTCCTATCCAATGGGTAACGGAGGCCCTTCCCCAGCGGTGTAAATCGGCCGGGGAGTGAAGGTGACCACTCCCTTCCATTTATTGTCGAGATCAAGAACACGTGGAGTTATACCCCCATTCCCCATATGCCTTCATGGCGTTGTGCCTAACTAATTAAGCACAAGGACAGCTTTAGCTATTAGCTTTACCAATTACGTTTAAATCTTTTTTTCGAAATATTTAATTACGTGCGAAATATTCTAATGAGTTCGCAGGAGAAGTTAGTATGGTTAATGTTTTGGGGCATCAGTACTATTTTTGGGGTAGAAAACAGAGACACAAATGATAAGTTTGATAATGACTTACTGTATATATGAATGCGTTAATATCGAGTATGCTTATTCTGAAAGTCCGAACACGGTGAAAGAGAAACAACATATTTCCGACGAGAATCGAATCCCTGTTCTCTTATTAATTACTCGTTTATTTAGCCAGGCTTTTCAACTTTCTGCCACATACTACATAACGTCGATTGATTGGTTATTTATGAATCGCAAATTAAAGAACAATGGAGAAGGAATCAGTCGTGGAGTATTTCAAGATACTATTTCAGCATTTACACGAAGCAACAAAAGAAAATCACGAAAACCCTATTCCGTATTCCGTATTGAGGGGGTGGGTTTCCCCATGCACTTAGACCGGTTACTGGTCCATTGTGCGTCCCCCTTTAATTTCTACTGTCTCCATACCCTACCCGTACTGGTGCTTACTATCAGCCCCTTTCTGCCAGCGAGGTTCAAACCTCTTACTGGCAGTGGTATCTAATAGTTAGTCCCTTTCTGTCAGCGAGGTCGTCCCTCCTCTGGCAGGGGTTCCTAGTCCCTTTCTGCCAGCAAGGTTTCTACCCTCTACTTGGCAGTGGTATCTAATACTTTAGTCCCTTTCTGTCAGAGAGGTCCCCCCTCCTCTGGCAGTGGTACTTGATACTTCCCCCATCTACCGGAGGAATTGGAAACTAGTTGGGCGGGAAACTTGGCCTAATTTTGCTCAGAGGTCTCCTAGAGACATGAGGTTCTTTTACGTGCCGTAAATCTACGACACGGGACCCACGGCTTAAAGTCCCTCCCGGAGGACTTATTCCCTGAATTTTTCCGCCCTTAAAAGTTCTACGACCTCAGCCTGGTTTTTGAACTCGCGTACCTTGAGTCACGAGGTGGGAACGTTACCCCTAGACTACGGAGGCCGCTACGAAAACCCTAAGTCAGTATAGCTGATATACCGGCCGGGTTCAGAACCTGGATCTCCCGATTTTAAAGGAGGAATGGTAAAATTTCGTCAGCAATGGTCTGTCGTAATCCACTTTACATACACACACACACACACACATATATATATATATTCCTACAGAGACCCACGTATATCTTGTAGCATGTTGACCCGTTGCTAAGTAATGACTCTGTAACCAACTTCCGTTGCTAGACAACAGATACCAATGGACTAACTGGGAAGAGGTGTTCTCTAAGCGGTCCTTGCGACAGCTGAAACTGTGTTTTCTTTGCGGTTCGTGCCAAGATGTTCATTCATTCATCTGTAATCTGTCAGGACGACAGGTCCACAGTCTCTTCCAAAACAGTTCCTCCACTTGATGCGATCTAGAGCTTTCTCCTTCAAATGAAAATATGCTCTTCTGTCCCCAAGGTTATCCAGCATCTTCTAACGTCTTCTTCCTCGTCTTCTGGTCACTTCTATCCGCCCCTCTATCTTTCCTTCAAATAACTTCTTTTAGAAGGCAGTTACCGCGTAAGATATGACCAATCCAATTAGCCTTCCGTTTTCTTATTTCGTGTAGGATATTCCTCTGCTCACTGACTCTAAATAACACTTCTTCATTTCTCACATAATCGGTCCAACTGATCTTCTCCATCCTTCTCCAGCACCACATTTCGAAGCTTTCCAGGTGTTTCTGATCTACTGCCCTAAGTGTCCATGTTTCAGCCCCATACAGAGCTATGCTCCCAATGTAGCATTTCACTAGTTTCTTCCTTAAATTTAAGTGCAATTTGCTGGTAAAAAGATTCTTTTTCTTGCTAAATGCAACTTTTGCCATGGCAATCCTTGTTATGGGCAGACAATCAGTGGAGTTAATTCAGTTGAGTTAAATGGAGCAACTTGGTTGGTGAGTTAGAGAACTGCTGTTTTTCAGCCCTTGTGTGTCGTTGCTGTTAGAAGCTGGTAGCTAAGGATAGTTTTGGAACCCAGAGTAAAAGGAACGTCCTCCGTTAGAAGCCGTTACCAGACAATGACTCGTGAAGACACAGCAGACTTAAAAGACTCAGTGCGTGTTGTAGTGAATTGTAGAGTGTGTGAACTAAAGAGAGTGCTGTAGTTGCTTGTAGTTACGTTCTGTACATTTTCAACACATCCGATTCACATCCGAATGCATCTGCATTCACTCAAATATGTAACATGCATATGCTTATGCACACGTGCAGTTACAGGCCATGCATACGTGCATTTCATGTACACAAACATACGTTATTAATATACATTTGTGAGATTTGAGGTTTTAAACGCGGGTGAGATTCGTACTCTAGTCTTTGAGTTATGACACCGTGTAATCTGGGAGGGGGCACTTGAATTTAAGAGGAATATACTGCTTGCATCTTCAGGGTACCCACATTGGTATACTGTAGTACACCGTTTCATAACAAAGAAAAACACAATACGAATACATATGCCTGTATACAATCTTAATAGTTTGCATCCTGTTGTGTGTTATAAATAAGGTATATAAATATATATAAAAGTATACAGTCTACACAAAAATATTCTGTATTTAAAAGAAAGTAGACACTGTTGTATCAACATTTATTTTTATTGACGCGTCAATACAATAATGTGTAGTTTGTTTTAAATACAGAATATTGTTATGTAGGCTGCATAACTTTATATATTTATATACCTCATGCCTGTATACGTTGATATTTCTGGACTTGATATTCCTGTCCTGCGAAAGACCAGTAGTCGTCCTTGTGACTCATTGCCTCCTGTCACGATGCGACCCACAAAGCAAGGTATTGCACTGTGCTCTTTGTGCTGCAGGGACGGTGTTCGGCTTTGGTGGAGCAAGACTTCACTCCTACGGTAACAGCCACCTGCAAGGCGGGCTACATGACCATAAATGTCAAAACGAACCAGTCATTTTACGGTAAGTACCTGACCCAACATCATTATGACAGCTGTCTTACCTTTTATTTCTTCTATAGATTTAACCGTTAAATTGATTTTTATGCGGATAATTGCGAGGCGATAAGTAGCCTGATGGAACTTATCGTTTCGCTTTGAATTTGGAAGGTAGCGGTAATCGCCTATGCCCCAGGTAATCATTACAACCTCAGGTAATTAACATAGAGAAGAAAGGACATTGTACTCTTCAGAAAACAACATTAGAAGTTAACACCAATTAAGATGATGTGGATGAGGCATTTAGAACTCATAGGGGAGATGAGAAATATGCATAAACATTTTTATTCTGGAAAACAGATTGAAGGACCACTTATATATAATATTGTGGCATGACTACATAAACATTATCAGTTACATGGAAACTGTTCTATCAACAAGCGAACCATCGCTAGGCAACTGTTCGCAACAACAATAGAGAAACCATAGAAACAATGTTTCTATGTGGTCCGATCCGAGACTACCTAGCGAGGACGAGCAAGGCAACTAGTTAGTGTACAATTGATGAACGCGACGTGGAGCCTATTTCTAAGAAACAAACCCATCGTCTCGTCAGAGTGGATGTTACATAAGGACTGTAGCTGGAAGAATTCAGTTGCGAAAGAATCTCTGTCGTGAACCTTGTGAGCTTGGAACCAAGAAGACCTTGTTGACAGTAAACCGACAGTCGTAAAGTTGCTTTGATTTTGACTTTTAACTTAGTTGCAGCCATGCGTTTATTATGAAATGGTAGCCACCCGACAACGAGGTACAAGTACAAAAGTAGAAGAATCTCCATTGTTGAGAACCGTTACCAAGCACCGTTTAGTAAAGACAGAAGGCTTTATATATGCTATAGCAGAGTGATTTGAAATGTGTGTAGATCCTTAAACTGTTATAATTATTTGTAGTTACGCGTTGTAAGTGTTCAGTAAATCCAATTATCAACCCAAACCCCATGTCTAGTCACTAACACGTGACAATATTAAAGTAGAGCTTAAAGAAATAGAATATGACCTTGTAAATTAGAATCATTAAGCAAACGGTAATGAACAGTCGGATTCCATAAAAGATGGGAATTTATTTACTATGTGGCTGTCTAGCAGCATCTGCTACACGAAAGAAGTTAACAAAAGTTTTCGGGTGAATCTCACGGCCGACCAACAACAAAAGAAATGTAAGAAACTGAAAGAAATAACAAAGCCTTAACTCACGCAAACCCAATAATACTGACTGCTGAAATAATTGTGAACGCAATGTAATATCAGAATTACAAAAATATATAAAGAGCAGAAGGGTGGAGCTACTTTCCACCCTTGCTCCGCCACCAATAATAATTTATTGCTCCCTCACCACAACAGTTGCCCCATAAGCACCCCTGCGCCTCGAACTTTTTAAACTAATTCTTTTTTTTTCCCCTTGGCACTACAGCCCCAGTGGGCCTAGGCCTACCTCCACGAACTTCTCCGTTCACTTCAGTTTTTCTAGATCTTACACATTCGGTAGGACTCCTTGGGCGGGTGATCAGCTCGTCGCAAGGCCTCTACCTGTATACAAACACAGAAAAACGCACACACACAAACTAAACATCCATTCCCTGAGTGGGTTTCGAACCCACGATCCCGGTTTCCGAGCGAGCGAAGACAGTACATGCCTTAGACCGCTCGGCTACCGCGACCGGCTTTAAACTGATTTACTGAAGAATATTTGAATGACGTCAGCTGTGCCTGAAACAAGTTGACTTAGTTTGCCGAAATATACGCAATACACATTAAGTTTCGTGACTTACTTTACTACCGCCGACAGAAGACAGGTTGTCAGACATGTAATAATAATAATAATAATAATAATTCAATTCATGTTTATTTACATGCAATAACTTAACAGCACAGTGGCCGATTACAAAGTTATCACGAGTATATATAGATACAGAAAAATAATAAAAACGAAGTACAAATATGACAGAAATAAATCGGTGAGCATAAAGCTAAAGAAGACTTAAATATATACCTACATTTATGAATTATTACGAGTGTTGCTAATACTGTTAGTAACTAAATACCAAGATAAGACAACTGGGAGTGATAGCATAAAATTAATAACAAGTCAATAAATTAATACCAATTACATAAGAAAATTAAAGTTAGTCGACGTATACACATTTGTAGTTAATGAGAACACTAATCCAGTAACACTGTAAAAGGTTTGGTACATGCTTGTAAAATATGATTCAGAGAAACCGC